CGACTTCTTTTCCTTTGGCTGGCTGGTCCGGTGGTGATCTTGATAGTTCTGCTTGTCGCTCTCGTCTGCACTGTAGAAATCTTCTTCTCCACGGTTGCCAACACGGTGCTCTTGCTGGCAGTAGCCTCCCTGGTCGTCTTCAAAGTAACTCCCTTTTTCGTCCTCAAGATACTCGTCTTCGTGTTGCTCTTCTTCAGGTGCTGTTCCGCTTCCACAGGCTGATGAACGGCGCCAAAAATTCCATTGAGTAGCCACACATGGCCGAATGATTGAAGAAAGGAGTTAACAACAGTGGAAGAGCCGCAGAGTGAGATGCAGAGGTTATCCTATTCACTGGCAGGAGATCGATTTTATGAAGAAAACTGAAGAGCACCGACTGCAAACTGCAGTCAACTACTTCAGTTGCGACCGATCGATCCTCATCTATTTCGTGGGGCTCACGGTTGGGCATACTTAACCCGACACCAATAGCTCTTACTTAGTACGATTCCTACGAAACTGCGCATCCTTGTGTATGGAGTTGATATCAAATGTAGTCACACAAGAACGGTTGGTTGCAATCTAACGCATTCAGTCAATGGGAATCGCGTGCTAGTACATGTGTGTCTGTACGTACACTCCTCCATCCTCATTCTGCTGTGAAAAGCTTCTCTAAACTCCTTAGGTAGCGGTTTAGGCATGTATGTGGTTCCTTCCACTAATGTAGGCATTCCAATAGGATGCTGTTGATTTTTTGTGCCATGGACCTCCTCTCGAGTTGGCATTTTGTCACCAACATCTCTGTCTCGAAGCCTCTTGCGCGGCATCTGAGATGGTTTTTTGGTTCAATTTGTGACGTCGCACCTCCCTGATTGGGAAGTAATTTCCACGATTGTTAAATGTTTAAATGTCAGAAATCACGGGAGTTGGGTTATATAGTATTCAGAGATAGATATATAAGATTTAAAAATAGATTTTTCTAGTTAGAGCCTTTGATCCGTGCGACACATTTTGAAAGTTGGCTTGCTTGTCTTGTTCTCTCGCAAATTACAAAAATGAGGAATGGGCGGCAACCGTTACCGATTGGGTATCCCGGGGTCCAAATTGGTAGCTCTATTTAGCCGATCGGCAGCAGAAGTCTCGTGGAACGAGGAGCACCGTGGCTATTCTGGTCACATTTTCTTGCTAACTGTTAGGCTAGATCTAGCTAACCGGACATGTCATCTAACCCAGAGGGGTCGCGAAGCGATAGAAGGAACTCCTCTACCCACTCTGACCTGGGCTTGACTTTAAAATACTTACAGCTTGGCTTTTCACCGATGTCTGGGACAACACACAGTGGGGAGGCAAAGGCATCCACATCCGCAAGGAAGAATCGCCGTTTTAGGACCTTACCCGTTTTCTTATCGACCTTTGCATCCTTCTGGAGTGGTACAAACAGGTCTGACGCATCACCTCCTTCTTTTCTGTCACCCAGTGGGCATTCTCTATAACTGCATAGGTCCCGTTTTCCAGGTGGATACCCCCGAATTTGGTTCTACGGGCATCAGGATCGTCATCAACCCCTTCCAGTGTCACAAAGCACTGGATATGACCTGGAAGCTTCCCATACCCACCATCCGCCTCATCTCCCCAGTCAAACAAGGCCCAGTCTCTCCACTTTCCGCCTCCTCTGAACTTGGGTTGACCATAGAATATTTGGTCGTTCCGTTTGTGCTGAGTGTAAATTTGGAGCTGATAGTCATCCATGTCCTCAACAAAATCTTCCATTTCCTCCTGCAGGTCCAGGAGGAACTCAAGCAGCTCATAACCCACATTGACGGTCGACCTTTCCACATCGCCCTTCCTTATAAATCCTCTTCTTCTCCTTGCGGGCCGCCTATCCTTCAACTCAATGCATGCATCGCCATGTCCACCATAGTACAACTCCATCATGGCTCCACCCTTCACAGGTTCTTCCTGTTTGGCTACACTTTTGGTTCCTGGTTTGGTAATCCTTCCTCGTGGATTGGCACTGCTTTCCAGTGTGGAAGTTGAGGATTCGGAACCATCGTCGTCGTCTTCGGGAGGCAGTGGATAAAACCTCCCATAGTAATCACACAATCTCCGACCATTAATCTCGGCCATGGCCCCCTCAACCAGTAGGAACTCTATCAGTCTGTTTGCCGTTTGAAGTTCGAATGTCAACAGGTTCTTTTGGGTGAGATTGGCTGCAACTTTGGTTACTTTGTGGCAACTTTCGTTGCTTCCGGTGTCATGTTCCTTGGGGACAACATACAAAAGGATATCCCTTGCCATGTGAATTATTGCGTGGAACTTGAATACCTTCAACCCCATACCCTCCGTTCGTCTGCAGATCTTGGAAAAGAGGTACATAATGAATCGATTCTTGCGCTCCAACCTCTTAACATCGCAAACCCTCATCTTGGTTCGCAAAGGAAAGCTTTCCATTCTAGAAGCGACTCAACCAGCAACAACCAGTCTTTGACATACGCTTCCTTCTGGAAATGCTTGTTCTTGCTCAACATTTCACGGCCTTTGGTGGATCTCAAAACAGCAGCAATCTGTAACAAAACGCCTCGGTTCTCATTGGCCATGAGCTTTCTTCTTCTGCTTGATTCCATGGGTGAATTTGCAATTGGGAAGGTCTCGTTCAGAGTTGTGACGGAAAAGGGCACCATATTCCTGTGCCAAAGCATCAATATCCTTAGCCAACTGTAAAGTTGGGCCGATTTGGGCAAAGAAACACTCTCTCAAATACAAGAAGATACCCAGATGGATGGCATGGAGCATCTCGGAGGGGCATGCACCATGAATTCCTGTATCATATTTCGGATCGAATCGGACCTTGTACCAGGCGTTGTCAAGGTACTGCTGCGAGATGGCTTTCCAACCTTCCAAGTCCTTTGTGTCGATGAGTTCCGTGATCATTGAGATGGTCTTGGTTTCATGTTTCGCATTTGGGCCGTCAGTTTCTTCATTGGAACAGACACAATATCGCCACAGGTGCTTCACATTGTTCCCCCGGCTCCTGTACTTTCCACAAGCAGTTCTGCCTCATCGGTGTCAGCCCTCACCATTGCAGTCCAGAACACCAGCGTCTTGTTTCGTTAGAGCTTTCCTCGGTAAGGAAGGTCCCTTACCATCCCATTCGTCTCCAGAGGGGATGTAGTTGCTCAATGATGTTTCAATTTGGGCATGGAAGTCTTGCGCTTTTGTAACTTTATTGGAGGTTTCTCCTTCCCTACCCACAACATACCTTCCAAATCCTCAAGTGCTGGTCATGACGAGAATCCGCAAACATCTTCTTCCTCTGATTTACCTTCCGAATAGTATAACCACAAGCCAACAATCGCCCAGGCTTGATCCTTTTCCGATAGTCAAGGGTGAAACAGGATAATGACACTTCAAAGCGGTGATTGAAAGGTTGTCAAACTGGCCCGTAACTGCCCCATCAATGTAGAACTTGACCCCAATGCCTATCTCATTCTGTGGGTCATCCACGTATTCTTTATAGGCGTTTCGGTATGCTCCGCCCGTGTTAAACTCACCACATAGGTCGCCTTTTCAGGTGGTGGAGCCATCGGATATAATTGAAAAAGCAGAAATCCTCATCTGTGAGGCGTGGATCGGTAAGCAATTGCTCACACAATTCCGAGCACTGAAGCAAATGACTTTGATCCGGGCATTGAAATGAGGAAGGACTATCTCCTTTTCAAAAGGTAACTTGTCGCTCTGTTGTACCTTTCTTAAGAATTCGGATGCAGTTTTTTCCTGCTGGGTAGTCTGGATTTCTTTCCCAGCTTTTCGTTGCTCCATTAGCGACCCAGTTTCCTCCAAATGCCAAGCAAGTACATCATCATAGGTATCCAGAGGTGTCCTTTTCCTACGGAGGATATCCATTAGTTTGACCCTCGCTTCTCTCGAATCGTTAGCTCGGTAATTTCTTTGCCTTGCACAGTAGGCTCTGAATGCGTTTATGTTGCTTCCGTCTGGGGGGCCGGTATCACCAATTCCTCTTTGTTGTCACCTTGCAATGTGGCAACTGACCCTTCAAACTGAGCTCACTGTCCTACACTGGTAGGCTCACTATCCGAATCCGCGTTGAAACGATCAATGTTGGTAGGGAAATCACCATCCTCATCTAGCTCCCATTTCCTTCCCCATCGGCGCCCTTTTTGTTGCCGATTCGAGGATTTGCTGCAGGTTTCCGATGGTCTGTGTCTTCTTTGGAACCACCACTACCTTGGAGTGAGCCCTGGCATGGGCATCCTCGTCCTGCAATCCTTGTGGAATGGCTGCCCTGGAATCTTGTCCTCTTGCTGCCTTTCTTGGTGCTTTTGCGGGCCGACCGGTGTCAGTGAGACCAAGCTGATCAGCTCTGGCCCTTGATCTTGTCTGTCTAGCACCTATAAGGATTGAAAGCAAGGTCCAAACCAAGGGCTTTCTGCATCAGTTGGTGGCAGCGCTTGTTCTGTTGCATGTGAGATTGCTGATATCCCACAGATTTGAATTTTTTATTGCAGTAAGGGCACTCAAACTCCTTCTTTGATGATGCCATGGCTGCAAGCTAGCTAGCCAACACTAGCTGCTACTAGTACTAGCTAGGCGCACTGGCTGGTGATTTGGATTCTGTGTGCTGGGGAACCGCCCGCTTACCAATCGGGATATAGTTTATGGTACCAAAGAGAGGGTTTGCCTTCCCGAAAAGACGGTCCAAAAAGTGGATCCCAAATCGTGAAGCAGGCAGTCTTGCCGGGCGGGCCTTCGTTGCATGCCCATGTGGAACACACAATCCCGATTCCAATCACTGCACGCATTCTTGGAAGAAATTACGTCACGGATCGGGATCGTGCTGGTTGGCGTTTGGTACCTGCACGCATGTCGATTCTAGCACTACCTAAAAATGCGCTTCTTAGATGTACCGGTGCCAGTACTGGTAGCTACTAGCTAGCAGAGAGTCCACAAAAGCAAGCATCATAATTTTGATGCGAAGTCTTGTCGACTCGAGAACATGCACCATGAAAGTCATCAAATCTGTTCCCCTCACCTTTCTCAGCACTTCTGCTCAGCCTCCGCTGCAACAGCAAGGGAGGCGTCGATTGGAACCCTTTACCATTCCGTATGCTCTCATGTGGCGTATTGAAATTGGTAATGGAATCCCTTATCCCGATCGAGAGCCCACTCCCGAGGAGTACGAAGGTGTCCGTCAATCCACTGTGGACTGGTTTAACTCTGCCCATGATGCCTTTTACGAGGATGCTGACTTTACCTTTGTGGATACTAACTGTGAGTTGGTACCAGAAGAGACCAGCTGGGATCCTGCCACCAACTACCCGCACAAGATTCAGATGCATTGTTTTGCCAACTTTGACGCCCCTGCCATTGAAGATTTGCCTACCAATGTGGAGTTCGTCATTAGCATCAATGAACACTATGATTTTCAGGACTTTGAGCGCAATTACTTGTGGGATTTGCCTCCTCCCAATATTTTCCAATATAGCCAAAGGGTAGGCTATACGATGACCGATAATGGGGATGTGGCTCCTACAGACTTTGCATCCACTCCTCCTACGGAGACACCTGTCATGCCACCCGTTGCCTCTCCGGCTTCCTCTCCGGCTCCCATTCCCGATTGTTTTTCTGAGCAAGCCACAGTGGAACAACCAGGTCAAGCACCGACCAAGATGATGGAACTCGAGATTGGAGACATGGTCTTGACTGCCAACAACCAATACCAGCCAATCTACGCCTTTGCCCACAATGATGCTACCACTGACACGGAATTCTTTCAAATCCACACCACAACTGGCAACAACAAGAACAAGAACCCATTGGAAGTCACTGGTCAGCATTTGGTCTATGTGCAGGGGAAGGACGCCCCCGTCACAGCCTAATCCATCAAGGTTGGTGATATCCTCACCCAAACTGGACAAGGACCACCTGCTGTCGTCACAAAGATTGAGACTGTCCAGCGCCGTGGAATCTATGCTCCCCTGACTCCAGATGGCACTCTTGTGGTGGATGGCATTGCATCCTCGTGCTACGTTTCCCTCCAACCCAATGGCAATCCCCAAACTATGGAACTACAAGGCCCACAATCTGTTTTGTCCACTTTCTCTCACCACCGAGTTGCTCACATGCTCTTGACCCTGCCTCGTTTGGTTTGTATGGGTGGGATCAACCCCAACTGGTGCCAGACATACAATAAAGACGGTGTAGCTCTTTTTGTGCAAATGGCATTTGATTTGTCCAACTGGTTCCATGCCCAGCACTGGTTGATCCAGTTGTTCCTTTTGGCTGTCTATGTGGTTGTCTTGTGTCCCCTCTATGTCTTGGAGCTCTTGCTTGGTGCCAAGCTGGCTGCTGCCATGGTGGTTGGTGGATTGGTCTTTGTGGGTTCTTTTGTCCTTGGAAATACAGCTCCTGCTGCTGTGGACCCAATGGTGGAGGACTTGAAGAAAGCAGCTTGAGTCACAAGCTTTTGCAAAAGTGACAACCGTGTAACCTCATTCATCAAATCACTACAACAATGGTCTATGCATGGTTACGAGCTACAGATTTAGAAAGTGTGTCATCTATCTCTTCCCAACTTGTAAGGTTGACAACCCGTAGCTTTCAAACAAGCCTTGTGGCTTCATTTGGGGTTGAGTGTTTCAATAGCCCTCAACTTGGTTAGGGCCCTTGTGAATTTTGTTTGGATGTTTGTCTGTTTGTCTGTTTGTCCGTTTGTCCGTTTGTCCGTTTGTGTGTCACAGTTTTTAGCCATAACCCTAATAGAAGTAGACTACCAAAAGAAAAACAGATGGCTGGCTAGCTAGGTCTACAGCTGCAGCCAGCTAGTAGCCTGGCTTGCCTACGATGTAGCTACTGCCAATCAAAATCAAACTCGTTGAGGGCTCATGCCTTCGGCAGCCTGAATCCTGTTTCGGCTCGATCTTCCCATTCGCCTTTGTTCCTGGAGGTGTGAATTGAGTAGAGTACCGGCACAGTCGAATCTAATCGAGTCGATACACCATACCTCGATCGTCGGGTGTCATTTAAGGCGGATGATAATGGTCACCCACTCACACACAGTGTCTTTCGAGACCACAGCCACTCTTTGCGATTGGCATATTCGGCAAATTTGTCAAAGATCCAAGGGAATGCATCCGTGAAGCGCAGGCAGAAATGTACCCAACTTGGAAAACGAGAGGAAAGCTCGTGGTGACAGTTGTCACCATTCCCTTCAAAACGCTGATTCTCATGTCTCCAAAGGCCTCTCTCGCATGTTCGGATAGGCGTCACTGCTTGCGATTTTATTTTCATAGGCATGATCCAACTGCACAAATCGACACAGAAGCAAGCTGGCAATGATACCAATCAAGAAGCTGGATTCAATTCAATACCGTGCTTCACGATCCCATCCAAGCATGACCATGGTTCCCCATGGCATTGACCAAGACCGAGATGACACAGAGACTGGCAATACATAATGCACTGTGAAATGGTCAACTCAAACATCACGGGCCTCATCAAGCTGGAAGGGGCAAAACTCACCGTTTTGGCTTCATTCACTCTTGCGATGGGATTGGCCCGCGACCGCGACAAGTGCCAAGAAACTCGTTGCGAACGAAAGTTCTGCGTTCTGGATGCTGCTAGCTAGACTAGCTAGTGCACAACCGCACACTATGTGATCATGTTCCAATATTCTCTATTGCCATCACATGTCGTCGAACTCCCCAAATGGATTTCCATTGGCCAATTAGTTTGATCAAGTAGCTAGCTAGCTAGCTAGTGGAGCGAACAGGCAGCTCCAGGTCCTCTATCTTGCTTCTCCTTCCTCCTCTTGTGTCAAATCCATTGAAGATTGCCCGGAGGCCCCGGGGGGTCCAGGCATTCGACTCAACCCGACTCGACTTGATTCGATTCAAGTCCGAAGCAGCCTAAACTGTTTTGGATTCTTTTGATGGATGGATGGGCTGGATGGAAGGAAGCCACCAGTAAAAGCAGCCACTTCTGCCATGTGGTTTGACAGCTGGGGACGGGAGAAGACTAGGTTAATGTGCAATAGACTGGCACATTCCATACCATGGTGATCTTGCAACCTGTCTTCCTTTTGGGTTTCTGTGCTTCTTTGCGGGGCCTCGAAAGCTCGGGGGATTTGATTCGATTTATTTTACTAGTACTCTTCGGGTATTGGCCCGCGACGCGACTAGCCACGACGATCTTGCCATCTGCCTGCCATCAGCTAGCTAGCTGCGTTACGTTTCTGAGGAGGGACCGGTACGAAACAAACAGCACACCTCCACAATCACTACTGTAGCTATGCATAGGGGTTGTAAAATAGACCGGGCGCATTGCTTCGATGGTGATCTATGCAACAATTATGCCATGATGGCTGGTGTGGCCAACTAGAGACAGTGGAAGACTTTCTATAAGGGCAATTTCAATGCCCATCTGCCATGTGGCATGTCAGATGAGGACAGGAGAAGACTGGGTTACGGGGCAATAGAGTGGTTGGCACCCTTTCGCATTCCTTGCGGATCATGTAGCTTCATCTTGTAAGCTAAGCTACCTTTCTTGTTTCTATCTGTGTCCAAAGCCGCCCTCTATGGGTGAGGGCAATTCCAATCCGCAGTGGATGAAACCAATGCGAAGCATGGTGTGCTGATGTAAGCTTTACACGGAAGCAAGCAACAAGACAAGGGCGTTGCTTGTTGAGAGGAGGAGGCTATGTTGCTTACGATGCTGCACAGGCAGCCAACAGCCCCCACACATGCTGCTAGCTAGCTAGAAAAACCACTGCGTGTTTGCTTGGCTTGGCTTGTGGTGGTGATCTTTAATAAACTTGAGAAAGAGGAAGCGTAGCGAAGCGAGACCACGAGCATCGATTTTGTTTTCTGACCAGGTCTTGCATCACTCTCGTTTCAGTAAGTCCGTTTCTCGTCTCTGCAGCGGCAGCAACAGCCCCCACGACCGATGCTTCTTGAAAGCAAAAAGGCAGCACTGATTTATTGTCTTTCCTTGTTGTGGTTATACTCTAGATAGAAGTAATGAACTTGAGAGAGCTGGGACACGGCCAGGAGCATTAGTAGGCAGGCTATGAAGTTTTCTGACTCAAGCCCCGCTCTGGTAAGCGCTACTCCTCTCCATCCTATAGCCCTGAAGTCCTTAATATTTCTTGGAGTAGCCCGCCATTGTTGGTAGTTACCAGTAGTTGAGTATGATCCAATCCAACTATCGTTGATAGATCGATAAGCAGCACTCAACTACGAGTTGTATGGTGTGTCGTACTGTGAAAATGTTGTTCGTAATAGTTCCATTATTTTTGGTGTATTGACATCAGAAAGTGCTCCCCTCCAAGCTGACGTGTTCCTACCACGTCTCGTCGTAACCTATGATTAGTTAAATCTCTCTGGCACAAAGAGTCATATAAATAAGATTACAAAGTGCGACCTTAACAAAGAGTGGTGGTTAAATTCGAGCATCTTTCTGTTAGTGTCGATAAGTATTGTTACCACGTGGACTTTGACTATTATAGAGACTAGTTTGAGAGGTCTATTCATTCACAGAAGATAGTACTGATTATTAATTCCTCAGCTCCTTCTAGATACACCCTTCCTGTGCGTTCCTATGTCACCCGCTAATTAGGCTTCTTATTGTCGAAAGCTACCTGGAACAGGTCTTTCTGAATGTCTCTAGCTAGCTACCACCATGGGTTTCATCTGGTTTCTTCGGTTGGTGGCTGCAGCTATGGTTTTGGTTATGGCACCCCAATAGGTGCAAGCTGGTGCACTATAATACCTATACTATTCCAGAGTTCCAGAGTACTGTAGCCAGCTACGATATCCGTATACCTCCAGGATATTCTGACTTTGAAGCAAGCAATGAATCTTCTGCCGTAGTAGTCTATCTTTCTAATCTCTAGATCTAGGTCGCTTGCTGTTTGTCTACTAGTAGTAAGGAATAGTTTAGAGAGTATGATATAGTTCTAAGTGCTTTATATTCTGTATGTACATGCTGTAAGTAGTAGTATAGTATAGCTTGTGTTCTATGCCGCAGCAGCTCCTGCAATAGGCCCAGATACCATGACATTGAGAAGTACTTCATTGACAAACTCCGAGTTCATGGTATTGTTGGCTCTTCGGCTGTCGGAGTGTTCATCCCTGTCGTCATTGTTAGGGTTAGCGTTGTTCTGAGGAGAAGAGCAGTCTTCCATAGGTGTACCATCTGGTTGGGTAGTAGAGGTACTACCAGTAGTACTGCTGTTGCTGCTGCTAGTAGCTTGATCTTTCTGATTAAAGAGAAAGGGTCTTTGAGCCAACGTAAACTTGAAAACTCTAGCTAGAGTCTTTTGGGAACTCTCGGAATCTCCTGCTAGCGTTTGTACATGCGCCAAGTTATTGAGCGCCGCCAAGCGTAAGTATACCATGGCTTCTCCACCACCTGGAAACGGTGGTCGATCTCCCGAAACTCCCAGGTGACTGAGCGCTCGTAAACATTGCTTGTAGTACTTGATGGCCGACTTGATGGCCTTGGCATCTCCACTACTAGTAGTGCTGTTGTTCGCTTTGACGTGATGCGCCAATGCCATGTTAAAGTGTAACACACACTTGTAGAATGTCAATCCAACGGTAGTGGTGTCACTGAGTGGACAAAAGTAAATGGCACGGTTGTACAGATAAAAATAAAACGGCAATTCGTCTGTCAACGCCGGCAATCCAGTAACGGCAGATGAATTGAAGACTTCCAATCGAGCGGCCGTTGTCATTTGGCAACAATGATTGCAACTGCTAGTGGCCATTGTGTCTTCCAATTCCGTTAGCGCGCTCTTGAAAGCCGTCAACGCACGAGACACGCATTTCTTGCGGCCCATGACCAACGCGTGGATTCCCTTGGTATTGCTAAGAGCTACGCTGCGCAAGTTGTTCTCCATCTTACTAATAGCAGTACTGCTATTCAATGGAAGAGTAGAGGTGGTAGAGGTGGTAGAAGTTGAGCAGGACATGGTGTAGTAGTGGAGTTCTTGTTTTTTTTAATTTTTCGTGAGTCAATCTGGAGTGAGTTGGCCCAAAACTGAAATTGTGAGAAAAGATTGTGAGCGAGTTTGGTCTGTCTGTTCTTCCTATCATTCCAATTCCAAGCGGGGAATTTAGACGGGGCAATTGTATCCCGAAAGCCTCGAGCCTCCTTCTGCGGACCCAGGGGTCGCCACATAACCAATAAAGAACCTACAAAGAAGGTGGCCAAACTCACGAATGTCTACGTCTGTCATTTTCACCTGCGTCTGTTCATTTACTATACTATTTCAGTACAGCAGAAGGTGGATTTACAAACCCAGTAGAGAGACCGGTACCAGATCAAGACAGTTTGCTCACGGATACTGACGCATGGCATTCTCATCAAAAGTGGTTTTGCTTGGAGTGAGTCGAGTCGACACTTCGTCTAAAGCAACTACATTGTAGGATGGGGTATTATCAAGCCTAACGAGCAGCTCATTCCTCAGCCTTCTTGTAATCCACACAACACCCTAACTAATAATAGTGGTGGCCATCCACTACACTACACTACGGTACGTACTCGTCAAACAATGCTACATACATGTATGTACGAGCAGCTCATTCCTCAGCCTTCTTGAAGCACACCGCAATAGTCGTACAGGTAGCTATCGTCGTGCATCGTGCAGTAACCATCAACTACTACTAGAGTCTACTAGCTAGTATCAATAGAACATTCTTCAGCCTATTCGGATCCCCACATCCTCACACGACCGCATCCACTCCTACATGCACATCCCTCGGCCAGCTAGCAGCTCATTCCCCACCATTCTTGAAGGCATCCAGTGTTCATTCTGCGGACCAGTATGAATATATTGGGGAGTAGAGTAGCTACCACTACCTGTAGCCTGTAGCTACCCATTGTCGATACCGTAGCTGCTAGCTAGCTAGCTAGTATCATAGCTAGTACCGGTAGTTCATTCAAAGAATACCGGTAGGCCTACCAGCAACTAATATTACATGCAGTTGGCTGGCTGGGTCCTTGAAACAATACGAGATCCTATCAAGACAACCAATGCTACTAGCGCTAGACTAGTTAGTTTGCTCAGCATAAGATACTAATGCATGTAGCCATCTGCCAACAGTTACTATTAATAGTTAGCCCATCAGAAGATACTGACTACATTACCGGTACGGCTGGCTAGTAGTCTTGCTAGAGCAAAGATCCTCGAGAACGCAGCGGAGACGACCTACACTCTTTTTCGGCTCTCGAGCTCTTCGTCCAGCAAGCTCCCAGAAGCAGCTTTTTCTACAAATACAGTTTACCCCAAATACCGTTCAATCCATGGTTGCAAACATTGCCAATCACAACCAGTCGAGGAAAGTTTCTCACCGCCCGATAACCGTACGAACAAATGCGAACGAGGCCGATACAGACGGCATCAGTCTCGTCCAGACAGTAAAATGACGCACTGTCGTCTGTTTTACTGGACAACCACTTACGTATCGAGAACAACAGATTGCAAAATCAAGATGCATTCACACCAATCAGATTCGATATTAATAAACAAGCGGCATTCAAGTTCGGTCGTGTGGATATTCTGGACAGACGCGGGCGGCATCTGGGCAGATCTCATCAGCCAGTCCCAATTCCGTACGTAGATAGCTGCTGTACATGTACCGTAATACGGTAGGTACAAGGGAAGTGACAAAGTACAAAGTGTGGGTAAAATGCGTGCCATATCATGCTACCGAGTACAGTCGTACGGTACTAGGGGCCTGCCGCCTTCACGATTCACGATTGCTCTGGTACCGGTACAGCCTCTCCACCAAAAGAGCACTCTATCAGCCACTCTACCGGTACGGTACGTAGCCTCTGAAGTCGAGTCACAGTCTGGAGTACTCCAGTAGCCACTCCGACGGTTTGGCTTGTACTTTGTAGGCTTGTAGGCAGGCTCTGCGCCAAAAGACCAAAAGAGCACTCCACCTTCTCGCCACCTACCGTATGGAATCAATCTATCCAGCCACCGAAGCAAGTGCGAGTGACAGTCGTAGTCCGGAGCCAACAAGTAAGTAAACAAATGGGAGCCGCAACCAAACAGTCGACGACTCGAATAGCAGGCAGCACAATGGCGATCAAGTCATTACACGTGGTGACGAGACCAGCGGGTAAGGAAACGGCCCCATTGTCGCTACTAGAAACATTCTAGATTGCTACTCACCAAATAATGCAACCACATCAGGCAGATTGTACACTTCTGGTATGAATGGGTTGTTGCTTGGCTGGGTCGTCCTTCAAGTTGCAACGAATCCTGACCGTGTTTCACATCAGGAGCAAACTGGGATTTGTGAGCTCGTTGTGGCGATCGATGATGCGTAGGGCAACTCCTTGTCGTGGCCAAGTGTTCGTGGTTCAAGGAGCAGGTTCAAGGAGACTTGTTCTGCAGTTGCTAGCTTCATTCATCATCTGGCCAGTAGAATGCGTGTCGTGTTCCCATTGCTTCTTCCATCTTGCCTCTTTCATGCAAGTTGAAACTGCAGTCAAAGGGATGCAGAAAATTGAAGCTCTTGCAACAGCATTGTAGGCAAGGCCTACCGTCTTGGATCGCTCCTCTCAGAGCTAGTACTAGAAGTTGCCTATCCTTGTTCGTACATGTACTGACTTCACTTCAAGAAGGAATTGCGCTTGTTCTAAGGTTGCCAGCTACGCTGCCTGCTTCTGTCCAGGTTGCTTTCAAGCTGATGGCTGGCTTCAAGTCGAACGATGAAAAAAAAAAAACGACAAATACAAAGCAACTCTATGACATTGTTGATTACTGTATACCTAGTTTGTCGCTCGTCGGCTGTACCAGGCAGTCATTCAACAGGCCAATCTGCAACGATCTTCACCACTCCGGGTGTGCGAACTTGCAATGCCTGGTTCTTCTGGAGATCTTCTCCCTTGAGGCCATCGTTCGACCTTCAAGCAAGGAATCTTCCTTGTTCTGATGTTGCGAAAGAGCGAGTGACCGCGCTTCACAAAAGAATATCTTCCTCAACGGCAACACGCTTAGTGTTGTTCCACGTACGCTGCTGTACAGTAGCTCCATCACCATGCCTGTACATAGCAACGTGGCTGGCAACTTTTGTGTCTTTATTGACAGAATCCAAAGGACCGACTAGAGTGGGCGGAGGAGCAACCAGAATGACGGTCAAGCAAAAGATATCCTTTTTTAAATTGCGAGGATGACGATCCGCCTTCACTTCAAGTTCAGGAATGATTGAATCATCAGAGGATTCGAGCGACGGCAACCATTAGGCATTTGGGAAGACGAATAGACAGACAGACAAAGAAAAAATGGCTTTGCAGATACTAGCTTGCACTGGCAGTCGGAGTTGGAGATAGTCCAGCCAAGCAACCTCACATACATCGGGGAGGGGTGGGTACACACACAGTGTGAGCGCAAAGCCGCGAACACCGTTCACTCCACACTCCACACTAGTAGGTCTACAAGAATTAATAGTCTTGGGGACTACCGGTACAGCATTAGTCTCTACTGAAAGCAGTGCTGCTTGAGATCCAAACTCAGGAAGGATCAAAGTGTGAGTTTCGCAAGGTGCTTCATCAGTGGCAAGCAGCAGGGGAGTCCCTGACCATTAGGGACTAAAAAAGCTAGGCAGTGGAATTTCAATAGGTTCTAGGTTGTAACCTTGGGTTGCTCCCGGCTCCAACCGGGGCCCCAAAGCCTGTACTCGGGCTGGTAGTAGGAGGAGGCTGGGGCCCCAGTTTGGCCATCTAGTTTTAGGTGGGAGAGTAGATTTCCAAGGTTGGGTGGCCTGCTGTGGGCAACAATCAATCGCTGGAATTTGGGCTGTTTCTGGGTGACAGGGTTCCTCATGATGGCTAGGGGCGCCTGGTTGGGTGGCTCGGCCACTTGTTCCCTCCAGGCCTGTTGGAATTTGTAGGAGGGTGGGTCTTGTGGGTGGTATTGGACATGCAGTAGGATAAAGTTGGGGTTCATGTTGACAATGGTTGCTGCCACTCGACCAGTAAGCTGCAGCCTTTCGAATAGCCTGCTCGAAGACAGGTTTCAGGTGGCAAGACTGGTATAGCCTTGGACGATCATCTATCTGGTTGGAAGTGTATCTTGGTCTAAAATTAAGATCATCAGAGCAACAAAATGATGTCTGTTGCCAGAAAACGCAATGCACTTCATATGGCAATTTAGCTAATTTCAATCTCTTTAGTGCTGCTGGAAGGCTGCGACGGTTCTGAAACTAACAGTTGGGAGCTCCACGATGCATGGATGAGCTTGGTTCAGAGTGACAGTCGAGTCGAGTCGAGTCCAGTCGAGTCGAGCCTTTCAGTGGTGGGAGTTAGATCCCCTTGATTTTGGTTGGTTGGACTGCTCGCAAGACTTTTCAGGCCCGCGACCCAATAAAGTACCCACATTCTTCACACCTCTGAAGTCACTCCCGCACCTTTGTCTCGCTCGTCCCAGTAGCTCCCGAGCCCAAAACAACCCACCTCCCAAGTCCAGCCAAGACGACAGCATTGCACAACAAGCGTTGCTGGCTGGACTCGACTGTCACTCTTGATTTTCGAGTTTGGGAATGCTGCCGTAGTGACATACGCACGTCTATGACGTGGCGCTTTAACGCTAGTTTTAAGTCTAATCTCACAATATTCCGATCGTAGTTCACTCTGAATTCAGAAGCAAGTTCGGTTGGAATTTGCACATCAAGCAAAAGAAACTTCCTGCGTACATTCTACGCAGCCGTATACTAGGCGTTTGGCCATTGTCAAACAATTTCGAAAATTCACTCGATTTCTATTAACAACGGTAACTCAAGGGTGTAACTCAAAACGAAGTTACTCCTTTTTCTTTCATTGTCATTACTTGCGACTCTTACTAACCATAAAGCCGCAAGTATTGTTGTTTGTTATTTACTTTTAGGTTTATTATCTCACCATGACGACGCTTGGTCAGTCGGGCAAGAATCCGGTCATTCCATTGGTCTCTGAGTATAACGCTGGCGAGGTCGCTACTACCGAGTTGTTCCGTTCTTGGCAACATGCTGGTAACAACGTCAAGCGAAAGCATGACATGATTGTACTGGCAGACGAACAAGAACCGGAACACGTCCTTCGGGTCATCAAGGAGTTCGATCAAGTGACCGGC